AATATTTTAAAGGAACTTCAAATAGTAAAGCCGATGATACACCGAATGTCTATGTAAGCTTACGTAATGTAGAAAACTGGCTCCCTTGAGCAATGGTCCTGGGCTGAAACCGCACCTGGGTCGTAGATGTAAAGCTAATATAATAAGCTGACCGAAGTATTTCTGCGAGCACATTCTACCTCTACATGTAATAAAACTACTAAAGCTTTACAGCTTTGAAATAGTCTCCATACACTGTTTACGTCTCTTTTATTTATAAGGACAAATAATGTTGGTTTCAATATCTAGAAAAGCGTTTACAAAAGAACGAAGTCATATTGGAAACCCTTTATAACCGAACACCATAAGAACGAAAGCCTCAGGCTACAGTTAGTTTGGAACATAAGCTCCAAAGCCCCCTCAAACGATTCTATTTGTCGACGAAAATATTACTTTGCACAAATCAATAACGGCCCTTTGAACCGCTATAATCCCTCCGTGATGCGATTCATTTATCAAAGTGCAGTTTTCTCCAAAAACGTTTTTCTCAGTCTACTGGGCTAGCTTTTAAATAAATAAAGCACATTCAACCTTCAACCTTCTCGGTGAACAAACTTTTCACTCTTGAAAACTTATTTTTTTAAATTATCTCAAAGAAAAAGACAGCATGCAATTTTTACAAAATAATTGGAAAGAGGCAGTGACACCTAATCTTGATTAGCTCAGGGATTTGTGAAAATACTTTGATCTTTAAAGTCTTGGGTCAACAAACTACGCAAGTTTAAAAAAATAGTGTATTTTGCTCTTTGTTTTGTACGCCTATAAATCAGGTGCAGGGCACGGTGTTTAATGAGAGACTTCCAACGAATAGACCAAAAACCAAGAAGCAACAAAATTGTATTCAAGCTCATAGTTGCTGAAATGTGAAGATGAAACAATCCACTTATTCGCTTCATCATATTACTCCAGTAAAATATACATTCTGAAAGCCCGACAAAATGAATAAACGAACTCTAGCAAAGCTACAGATCCAATTCAAGAACGAATGAAAAATCTTGGAATGTTTGTAATTCAAGATAAATTCTGCGTCAGAGGCAGCCACATCTCGAATGCTGCTAAAAATTCGAGGATAAGAGTCGTCAAACTCGGTGAGTGGAGGAATAACGATCGAATGGCGGGAGCCAAAGTTGGAGTGGCCTACACTAGATAATTGAAAAATGGCATCGAGCCGCGTCCAACTCGATTGTTTCTGAACAGATTAATGTGAATAGTTCGACTGATGAAGTGAACCGTGTTATTATTTGTGTGCATTGTTGCTTGATTGATTTACTTCAACCGTTACAATACAAAAAAGTGCAGCAAGAGTCGTTGTCAATTTTAGGAATAAATTGCTAAGGTGATGATAATTCAGGTGAGATATATATATAGGTCCAGAGGTCGTCTAATTTAATTAATATAATGTCTGGTTAAAATCTTTAGATTTTCTGAGAATCCCACTCTAAGATTCCAGCTCACTGGACTAAGACCACTTGGCCAGGGGTACTCATGCATTAATTTAAAATGATTTCTCCAAAACCGGAACCAATGTTTCGTGAACGGATAAATTCAGTATGGATGGAAAGCTATATTAATTAATCCAAAGATTAAATTGAGCGTTGATCATAAACGTTGAATAAACTATATTGGTATATGTATTGATTTTACTAATTTGTACGTGTCTATAATATTATTGTCCAAAGTCCATGAACAAAGCATCATTAGAATTATTATGGTGTAGCCGTAACTAATCGTGTGATGCATTATGATTATAATAATATACAACCAGACAAGAATACTTCCTCGTCTATTATTCTATAGTATGTCCATGTGTTCGTTTTCACAGTTAGTGCAATTACAAGGTGACACTACGTGTATCTAGTTTCAAAGCTCAACCATAACTTCTGATTAGCGAGAGGTCGGAATTCGGGATCCATTCGACCGAACTATCCACAAATCGTAGACACAGGGTATTAGGCATGCTCTCACTAAATACCATTCTGAACTATACGTAATCCCAGCCTTCGTAACTAGAGACCCATTCCTCCAAATCGTCGGGGACATTTTGAGGTAGCCAGAGAAATGGGGACGTAGCGACCCATCCGATAAAAATTGCTGCATCAGCTGGGCAATACTGTAAAATCGAGATCTTTATTGACAATACTCAGTCAACCGTATGAATTCGATGACCGAAACATTTTAATAATGGCGATAAATAAAGCATTTAGTTCCGAAATACGCTGCCAAAACAAAGAAACTTTAGCCGTCTGTTATCTTCCACGCTATCTATTGAAACAAGCGCTTACTTCATACAGTACAAAATTATGTTTAGACTAAGTAAATAAATCAACCTCATCGCTTCTCATGGGTGTCGTAATTGGCAATTAAGAGATAATATCAGGAGATAGGCGTCGTAATAGACGACGAACGGATTAATTACATCACGTGGATAGGCAGCTAGACCGTAATTGATGCTCTAGATATTACAGAAAAATAGTGACATTGTACAGGGTTTCGGAGTTGCATAAATAATGGAAACAGGGACGTATGTTATAAATCAACTGGCACAAAATGTGTGAACAATACTCGTTTTCAGTGCTGTACAATTACTAGTAGCATTCGTTATATCTGTCTGCGGGGAGACCAATACTCATGATGAATAGTTGTTTCATAGCAAATTACTCATGACAATATGTCAGCCACGCACTGATTGCCGGTAATAAACGTCATTAGCGGTTGTCGCACACCGGAATATTCGAGTTATTTTGTTACAAACATGTCCAAATGTCAACTGCATTCTAATGGATGGATTTATTCAGTTGTAAGTACGAATACGAATACATTAAGTGCTTAGATGACAACGGGCGTCATTTTTGTCTAAGTGCAATTTTGCTGTTACGAAAATGGAAAGTTTTAAGAAGTTAATAAACATCATGTTAAAAGAAACAATGAAACTATATGATAATTAAACCGAGTTCTACTTGGAAACTACAACAATATATTCCACCAAAACATGAACTATACTTTGAAACAGAATAGCACAAACAGTTAACTATAAATTCTACGTAGCATGTCCTTTGGGAGATAACGGAAAGGCAAGGTTTGCGGGCTGTGGTCACATTATGCACGGAGTCTTGACAGAGGCCACGCCGTACAAGGAAAGCTCATTTCAAATTCAAAATAGTTGCCAACAAAAATTAGCAGGATAACATACAGAGTCACACCTTTATTATGCAACAGCACATTTCGCGAGACCGAATAATCACCAAACCAACAGGGATGCGAACACTTCGCACCGCTCATTAACCAAATGTTCAGTTTATTGGCCGAATTTGCAGAACGCTCAGTCATACGAAAATATTCTCAATACGTTAATGGTTTGCCTAATGGCTTCCCCGAACGTTATTTAATGGGTTGACATCGTTTATAGAGTAATATTGAATTGTTAGTACACTAATGAGTTGGTAATAGAGGTCGCAGGACTTACGTAATTAGTTTTTCTTTCACATTTTCGTTTTTATGCTCTGAGTGCGCCGTTAGGTCTTCACTTTACGTTATTGAATTTATCGATATTGAGTTCCATTAATGTTTCCAATTTTCTTCCGACCTTTTTTCTTATATTAGTATAGTAGTTATAGTTTTGTACAATAGTTCATGTTCCCGATCGACTACGCGTAATTTGTCGGATTCCTGTTTCTATTGTGTATTGTTTCTGTTATTGTTACTCTGAATTGCTAGCCGATATCTGGAGGCCCGCACTCTATATTCTATTCTATATTAGTAGTAACATAGGACTACCTAATTTCTGCAAACATAGTTCCGCAAATGCTGCCTAAACTAAACCACTACACGATACAAGGTTGCAAGGTTGTGATGGCATCAAATATTCATGTGACATGTCGTCTCATTACGCAGAGTATTAATAACTCATCGCCGGAGCAAGTAATCAAGAGGAAGTTGCGCTTAATCACCTACAGGCCGGCTGATAAAAATTTCATTACCAACGGGTCTCCTCGACAAGCAATCTCATCATCTAAAAATAAAATAGCGAATAAAAGGGTCTAATTTTTGCCCTTATTTTTGGGGCGTAAGGGTATTCAATAAAATCTGTTTGGGGTTATTGTGTAGCTGTGGAATCAGCTTTATCATGCAATGGCTGCTACTTGTGTTTTGTTTTAAGGACTATTCATTTTTAATTGGGGTACCCGCTCTGATTGACGGGTGTTCCGGATTTATCGTCTTTACAATCTTATTAAAAAATGCTGACTTTCATCTTAATCGCATTTTAATGAGTCTGAAGGTTTTGTAATTTTATTCTTTTTTTCCTTGTATATAACTGTTACGGTCACTTTCTGAAGTTCTACAATAACAAGTTACCGAGTCAGAAAGTATGATAGTTTCATTATTTGCATATTTTTCCGGCCAAAATATTCCTGCCACGGCGTGTCAGGTTAAGCCCCTCCTCTGTGGTTTGCAGCCAGGCTTTTACTAAAAGCGAGAAAGGGCTTTGTACATTAATCTAGGTGTTCAAAAGCGCCGGGCATGCCGCGAGTATCAAATACCGCTATGACCAATAACGTGGAAGCTTTGCTTTAGAAGTTATTTTCCCGTTACATAATATTACGAGATGAGATTACAGCAATAAAAATTAATTTGCAGTCTACACTACATTTATTGGTATTGGTTCTATTAATATGGAATGAGTTTTAAATAAACATTTCATTTCGATGTAAACTTCGTATTCCATTCGATGATCTGATTTTAATATTGAATTTATTTTGAACTTTAAAATTCGCAACTAATCGCTCGGCTATATTAAAAATGTTTGGTTACATCATCGGGGTACCTATAATATAACGGCAATGTTGCATAGTAAAATTAATAAATAAGCTTCCCCCAATGATTTCCAGGTCGGCAAGTTAGAAGCCACATATTGCAGAAAAATATTCCATATTTAAAAGAGCTATTACATAGGTTGATCCTACCTGTATCTGGAACATGGATATGGAGTCGTCCAGCATCTGTACCCTGACGGCGAGCATCTTGCCGCCCTTCTTGGGAGTAGCGGGGGGCGTACGGGAGCCACCGCCGGCGCCGTCCACCCCCGCCGGTGTGCTGGCGGAGTGGTGCATGCGTCCTGGACAAAATTATATTTTAAAATATAAACTAATATTATTCTATGTTAAAAACGATGAAGAAGAAAAATACAAGCTCTTTTTAACATTTTCAGTTCTACATTTTTACATGCAATTAACTTCGCGCTCAATTAACTTAGGTAGTTATGAGCTTTTAATAATCCAATTATTTTTTATGTATGCGAATATGAGGTAACAATCATTTAAGAGCCGAGTCTGAGACTCCCTCTCGCCTCACACGGGCGGGAGAAGTCATTGAATTCCTTTCAGCCCTCAAAAAAACGGGAGCTAACAGAAAATACTTTAACACTTAACCAGGAGATGGACAAACGAGAAACTTCATAATATTGTTATGCAGAATATATCCGTTTTATTTTGTTTACGATATAGTTTAGATAGGACCTTTTCGTCCTCAGTTTATTTATGGTCAGTGCACCTTTTCCTATCACTCGTTATCTACACCCACATCTTCCAAACCCTTCGCCATCAAAAATATTATGTTTACATACGACGTATGGAAAACTATCTCAATATGAAATGAAATTAACTTTAAAGTACATAGTAACTCAGTGGCGTGCAGTCCATATAGGCAAAAAGGCTTTGCCTACCTTACAAATACCGTGAATAACACTACGTAATAAAAGATATAAACATTTTAATTTTACTACAGAATACTAAAATAAAATTATAATAAATTAGTGAACGCCTAAAACAAATAGTATAGCAACAATGATGGCGCGCGATACGTGTTGCATTTCGCCAGGCGTACCGTATATAGCTGTAAACATTAACGCGCGAGGCAGGCACGCGGTTCCGTCGCCTGCAAACCATTCATAAATTTAAGCGTGTAGTGGTGAACGTCATTGTGTGCGTAGTGCACAGACGCGTTTATTTTATCGTCGCGAAGCTTGCCTGCAGGCACGGCCTGACGACTCGTGA